GGGGGGGAGGGGAGGGGGAGAGAGAGAGAGAGAGGGAGAGGGAGAGGGAGGGAGAGAGAACGATGGACGGTCCCTAATGTACCTGGATCACACGCGATGTTGCATGTGAAACAGCTAGCTCCTGTATCTTGCCCTTTATTTTTGGCAGAAGCGCTGTGATCATACTGCAAAAGAAAAGAAGAAGTCAGCAAAATACATAAAAACCAAGCCTAACCATCCCCAGCAAAAAAAAAGAAAAACAACAAACAACACAAGACAGGCCCAGCACAAGACGGGGCCAGCACGTCTCCACCTTCCTTTCACAGATAAGAGTAACAAAAAGCACGGGTAGTTGCGAAGGGAAAAGGACGGCGGAGTTAGAGCATAATTACGCTACCACTTTTTCCACCCATTTTTTACCAAACATCAAGGGCTGACACGATCGCACACACGGGCCTTTATGAAGCAAACCTCTTATCGAACACCTTTTTCTCCCCGCAGCCTCCAAGCTGCACGAAGATGCGACCACCCCACATTTGCTCCAAGGAAACACTGAAGCCAAAGAAGAAGGAAAGAATCGACACAACCAATGGTCTGGCCCTTCTCCATATTTCACATTGCCAGCTCTTACTAGCCTCTTAGCGGGTTGATGAATGGTTTGCCTTTCTTTTTGTTTGCTTTTGGCAAAGCAAGAAAAGGGGACCTGTCTGTATGTGTCACTGAAACAACACATTTTGTTCAAGCGAAATTTATGGACATCCCGGCCACTCATATCCAAATGTTCCAGTGTACATGAGACAGAGAGACAAAGACAAACAAAGAGCAAGACAGAGACATAGACAAAGAGAGAGACAGAGAGACGCAGAAAGAAAGAGACAGGCACAAACAGAGGGACAGAGAGAAACTAAGATAGAGACAGACAGACAGAGAAACTGACGGAAAGAGAGACAGATCCAGAGAGGTAGAGAGAGAAAGATGCACACAGAGACAGAGACACACTGTGTACCCATGACGTTTATGGCTTTTTCTGTGTGTCAGACAGATTGATCACTTGGGAGGGAGACAGAGGGAGACAGAGGGAGACAGAGGGAGACAGAGGGAGACAGAGGGAGACAGAGGGAGACAGAGGGAGACAGAGGGAGACAGAGGGNGGATGGAAAACATGTGACGAAGATGGTGGTAAAGGTTGTGTTGTGCCTTTCGGATGCTCTGCAGGAAAAAAGAGCGAAAGGTTATACAACAACTGCCTTCGGACCTGGGCTGCTGACCCTAGGAAGGAGCACCGAAGGCCTGGTACCACACCAGTTTTTTTTTTTTTTTTTTTKTTYTTTYTTTYWTTTTTTTAGACAGGGCCTTATGGTCCTGGCTCCATATCCATTCTGGGTAGCATCAGTTCGGCTCCTTTTCCACCGGCAAGTGATGAGAGTACATTAAGAAACACACACACGCTTCCTTCCGTTTGACCGAAGGACCGCTGAGCAGCATTGATTACTCCACTTTCATGGAGGATGGTACCGTACCAGTTTCTAGCAGTCCTAATGTGAAAATTTTAAATTTGAGCCTTCACCGTATCAAACTGCAAACAAAAGAAGTGATGGATGGTTTGACGTGGAGAAGGTGGAATGTGAAGGGGCAATGAAGGTGTACATAGGGGGAGGGTGCAGATCAGGAAATAGATTGGTAAATTGAAGGGTAACTGCTAGGACAGGAGGATTTCTCACTGGAGAAGAGACACATGCATTGTAGGCGGGTAGCTGGCGAATTCCCTCCGCCATGTATCTTGTGGGCGCGATGTCTTCTGCGAATGGGAGACTAGCATCTTCAGCCGAATAGAACGCCCGGTCATTAACACTATCGGGACTGAAAGTTGCACCAAATACAGCTATAATGACCGGGCGTTCTATTCGGGTGAAGACGGTAGCGTAGCTGGCTAATAGCTTTGGTTGTTTCTGTTTCTCTTTTGCAGGTGATTGAGATTCTGAGGGAGAAGTTTGATGCTGCTAAGAAGGAGGTAGATGCCGAACTGGAGGTGTTCGCCGGGGAAATTGTTGATCTGATGCACGAGTATGCAGATAAACCACCTTGCAGGGATTGGAAAGACAGGGCTAGGTACTTGTTGCAAGTCGTGACGAAGTGTGCGAAGATGGAGCCAAACGAATTCCGATCGGAGTGCGAGAAGGTGGTGCAGGAACTGGACGAAGAGAGGCAGGCGGCCACGGAGCCGCTGAAGAAGCTGTACACGAGGCTTCTTTTTAACTTAACCCGTTGTACTCGTCTCCTTCAGTATCAAGAGGGTGTAATACATGACGATACCATCTCGAGGTCGTCAGGCAAGCCGGCCTCCACAGACGGAAGGCAACTGAAAGCATCAGGGCTGGTGTCGCCAGTGAAGTCGAAAGTAGATACTGAGGGTATTAATGCGGTTATGGCAGACCAAAGCACTTGTAATATAGCAGTAGGTTGTGTGGATGAGCACATTGACTCGGTAGGTGCAGAGGAAGACGATGCGGGAAAACCATTGACAGCAGAGGGGGTTTGCGAGAATATTGTAGAGGAGGAGCCAAAAATAGAGTTGCAGTTAGATGATGATGTGATTGGGAGATTAGATGGGAGTGAGGAGAATGATCTGTATATGCGTGAAGCGGCGGAGGATTCTGATATCAAAGGGGCAGGTTTGGACAAGATTGGCAGGGGTGATGGAACAGTTCAGGTGCAGGCTGCAGACAGGGATCGTGAAGGGTTGCAGGTGTCAGAAGCGGAGGAAAAGGGACACCGAGAGCGGCAGAGTTGCGGAAAGAGTGAACAGCAAGATCAGCACCAGCCAGAGGAAAATATGGAAGGGGTAGACGGGAAAGAGAGTGATTGCGTATGGACAGGCGTAGTTGGGCAACATGCTAGAAGCTTTAGCAAAGTCGTAGAGCAGACAATAGGCAGACAAGATGTCGATCAAATGGATGAAGGCTGTGCTAGGAATGAGGAGGCAGGTGTTGCTGTAGGGGGAGGTAGCAGGGGGGAGTGGTATGGATCTGGGTGTGAAAATGAGAGGGTATGTGAAGAACAGGGGGATCAGGGATATAATGAAGAGGTGGAGGATGATGTCGGCGGGGGTAACGGCAGGGACGAGGAAGAAGGATATAATGGGGGGGATGAGGACTTTGATGAAAGATTTGCCTATATGGATGACGAGTATTATTTTCCTGTGGTGTGCCGAATATGTGAAATAGAGGTAAACTCGGCATTTTTTGAGGAACATAATAGGCTTTGTTCTATTGCGTACCGATGTGAGGCAAAGGGGATGTCGATTGACGACAAGCTGAAGAGGTTGAGTGACGCTTTACTCCAGCTCATTGCTGACGACTCGTATTCACCATCGCAAGCAAGGTGGCATGGTTCCTGGGGGAGTCCGTTAACGAACCCAAGTGGCACACCTGGTAGAGAAGGTGTGGTGGGAAGTGTTCTAAGTGATGGGAGCGCTGGTGGAATTTATGGTGCAACAAGTAGTGCAAGCAGCAGTCCGGCATATTTTGTCAGCCGATTTGGAATGGAAGCGAGCGAAAGCATGCAAGAAGCAAGTACTGCAGTAGGGGCTGCTGGTGGTTGTGGGGGAGGAGTAGGGGGAGGGGGTCCAGGTGGTGGTGGAGGAGGAGGAGGAGGAGGAGGAGGAGGTGGGGGAGGAGAAGGTGTAGCCGGGGTTGGGGGACAAGGAGGCGGTGTGCTGGTTAGGCCGTCAAGCCCTGAATGTGATGGGTGCCAAGTTTCTGGTAGCCCTGGGACATGTGGCTCAGGTTCAGGTTCTGGATCTGGTTATGGTTCGGGCCCGGGATCCGCAGCCACTGCAAGTTCTAGCTCGCGTGGTGTCATGTCAAGCAGATCCGTCAGTGTGTCCACCACCCAAGAAAGTTTTGTTGGCCTCATGTATACGAAGAACGTAGCTCTCATCAGACAGGTGAGATTCCCTTTCACTCTTTTGGCAGTACGTCTGTATAAGTTACGAGCCTAGTACTGGAGGTGTATGTGCAGGTCTCAAACTACTCTCAATCCCTTTGTCGTTTCCGCTGGGTGAAGGTGGAAGTCTGAAGTGTTTTGTTAAGCAGGCGGGCTCTGTTCCGGCAAGCCTCAGAATGTTTATGTCTAGGTGAAAGTGAAAGTTACAAAGTGGTGCGGTTGATATCGCAGACATATGCTCAGCCAAGGACTCCGACTACATTGTCTTTTTGATTGGCCTCCTGCCTCCTGAAAACTGGACACCGAATTTTGAGATTACCCTCTCTTTTTCTCCAGTTTTTGTTTCGTTAATTCTCGGAAAATTGAAAATTGTGAAAGTAATTGAAATGTCTTTAATTAATGGGAATGTGATTGGGATGTACCTGGACATACGGTCCTGGACTGTCCTGATGTCTTCGATTGCCACCATGTTACTGTGTCTATTGCTGTGGCCCTCTATGGCGGGCCTTGAGTGGATACTAATGACATGCGAAATGTGCCATCCCTGTCTGCATTCAACAGCCTCCCCCCCTTCCCTCCCTTCCTCCCCCCCCCTTCTGCGCCCGCAATGTTAATTCGCACCCAAGAAATCATCTGTCTCGTAAAGACAATAGAAATGATGCCATGATTTGGAGGACATGACAGAAAATGCAAGGGGAAAAAAACATACCATTCACTGCGCTTGACTTCCTATTGTCTGTCCATTATTCAGGGCTGGGTAAATCCGGTGGTTTCTTTTCGTGCTGTGGAGCATTTACCCCACAGCCAGGGTTCGAAGCCATCAAATTTTGATATCTATTTCTCACGCGCAGGGGGGACCCAAAAATGCAGGAGGCAGAGAGTGGGTAGCGAGCAACCATCAACGCAGGAAATGAGGCCACCTTCCTTCCCTCTTTTCTGTCAACGCGCATTTCACTGCCGTCAACTTTGACCGGTCTACAATTTTGCAGTCAACACACAAGAGCCAGGGAGCATCATCATCAGAGCCCTACATACAAGTTCGTATGGCCTTAAACCGGTCGCTAGAAATTGGGAAGGGCGAGGGGGCGTGGGGGGGGGGGGGGAAGGGAACTGGTCGCTAGAAACTTGGGGGAAACTGAGCACTAGAAACTCTAGGAACTTGGGAAAAACTCTTCCTTTGACTAGTTTCCCTCGTGGGGACTTCCACACAGCCTCGGGACATGTAAAAAATGGGCAAAGCCAAAGCCGTGGATGACTTGAGCACAGCCATGCAAGACGAGACATGGGTCTCGGCCGTACTCCACTAATTACATCTTATGCAAATTTATAATTGATTAGAGATGAGTTTTTTGCCTGTTTCTAGTCTAGGCACATGTAAGCCTCTAGATGGAATTACATCTTTTGCAAATTTGTACTTGATTCGAGATGAGAGTTTTTTTTTCCTGTAGATCTAATTACATCTTTTTTCAAATTGATACTTGATCCGAGATGAGAGTTTTTTTCCCTGTTTCTAGTCTAGGCACATGTAAGCCTATAGATCTGCGTGAGCTTCCCGCTCTGGGGATTTGATACAGGGTCATCCCCTGGCTACGTCTGAGCGGGCTGATTGGCGGATTAGTATGGAAACTGAGCTATAAGTACTGGCGTTTCATCGGTCAAACTCCCTTTCGGTTACTTGTGCACTAATGATAGTTAAGCGTTATAGTGGTTGGAGACGAGGAGCGTGAGGTGGTTCTTGGGTGTGTGTAATGATGGGTGAGAACACATAGTACACGACCGAGTGTGTTTCTTGTGTATCTCTTTTTCTCGGATTTGACAGCAGCCTTTTCGGTGACTTTTGTGCTATACATTCGCGTGCATTTGTGTGTGTTAACTAACTACTTGGTCTATGATTGCTTCCTTCTAGATCATGCAGATTTCTGCCAAGGGTGGTAGCACAGGCAAAACAACGCAGAACAGGATGTACAGAGAAAGAGGGCCGTCAACTCAGCAATCGACTTTGACTCACCTTTCGGTCTTGTCTGGTAAGGGGTTTCTTAGATTGCCTGTGCATTGGATTGAATCCTGCCTCGTCGTTGCCTTCGGTATTCTTGCTGCTGGCTGGTTCCTTGCTTCTGGTTTTCTTTCCACTGTCCGGATCATCGCTTCTGGGTTTCTTGCTCGCCGGGTCGTAGCTTTTGGTTTTCCACCTACTACCCTTGCCATCTGGCTTGTGTTCTCTGCCATAGACCCACCCATGTGGCAAACACACGACCAAAGATGTCAGAGAAAAAACAAAATAATAAAAAACCTGATAAATACATTTGAAAGAAACAGAGAAAAATTGCACTTCCTCGACTGTGAGCAGATTTGCTTACTTTAACTTTCTGACCCCCTGTGTGCAAATGACAGATGGCACTCCATACTACCCACCATTCGCTTGGGTAACAACACACTTGACCATCGTCTTCTGCATCCTGCTTCGTAACATTCTGCTCTCTCTCTCTCTCTCTCTCTCTCTCTCTCTCTCTCTCTCTCTCACACACACACACACACACACACACACACACACACACACACAGAGGGGGCAAGGACGCAATCATACGGGATAAAGCTTGAGCAAGTGAAAACTGAAAAAGTAGAAACATAAGGAACCCCTTCTTGTTGGTCGAAGTTACCTCCCAAACCCCTAAACCCTAATTCCCAAACTCTGTCAAAAGAGCCCACTCAGTTCTTAACACATTTCCTTCCCCCATTCAACCACCCGTCCCCGCCCCATTTCGCCCGAGGCACCTCAACAATACCCCCTCCCCCCTCCTCCCCCTCCCTCTGAAGCCAGTCATCATCAGGCTGGCTATTTCTGACTCGTCCAAAACATCCAAAGAGGTGGTCCAGGACCTGCACCTGTCCGATCGGGACAACCTAGCCAGACAGCTTTGTGGCATTCATATCTTTTTTCCTTTTCTCTTAAATAATTAATTAATTCTCACCCAATCTTTGAGACTCGAATCATTCGCTAATTCACAAATTTCAAATCAGAACAAAATCAGCAAAAAAAAGGATGTCAACTCATACCTTTTTGGCCGATCTTCCCCATCCTTCCCCTTTCCAGCTCCAAATTGTTTTTTAGGGGGATCCGATATTCGCCTTGGCTTCATCCTCATCACTGGAGCAGACACAAGTCACCCTTATACCCCTCAAAGTCGCCTTTGAGCGCAGTTAGTCTCCCTGTGATTCCCTCAACTCTCTCTCTCTCTCTCTCTCTCTCTCTCTCTCTCTCTCTCTCTCTCTCTCTCTCTCTCTCTCTCTCTCTCTCTCTCTCTCTCCCCCAGCGCACGTGTATGCTCCCACGTTTCAATTGCTCGAATTTCTCATATGCTGACTATTCACGTCCATCAAAACTCCTGATGCGCAATTCAGTCTGACTCCAAATAGCACTCAGAATGTCATCATTACCTGCAAACACAGCTTCCTCCCAGACACACCACCAGCATTAGCTATTTCTGGTGAAAAAGGGGGAGAGACCACTATCAACGGCCACAACGATTACCAATCTTACAATTGAGCCCAGTGCGGCCACACTCACACAACAACAAAAGAACACATACATCAAGTATACGGGGTCTAAATGTATAATCTCTCTCTCTCTCTCTCCCTCTCTCTCTCTCTCTCTCTCTCTCTCTCTCTCTCTCTCTCTCTCTCTCTCTCTCTC